CCTTCCCTCCAGCTGTGATGTCATATCAGGGGGCATGGTCGCGCTTTTAAAGCACTTCAGCGCTGACTGGGCCCCCTGGAAATCCACAGCCACCGCAAGTTATACCGTGAGGGCCAGGGTTGCAACACATGGCTGCGGGCACCCGGTCGCAGGGGTCTGCGGGGCAGCCGGGAGCCCTGGAGTGATGGGCCTGGTCACAGCTGCGATCGCGGTAGTTCTGCCACTGGGTACCACCCACACTGACCGACCCTTGTTTGGAATACTTTCCGTGCAAGGGTCAATCTATTAACCTTTTTCATGCTAGTGACTCCACTTGTATTAGGCTGACAGATGGCTGACTGGGGACAATTAGATGTGGATACCAAGGAATAAAATGGGGATGGTAGGACTGGATCCCAAAACCAGGATGGTATCACTGAAATTGGAAAGGCTGTATGCATACATCTGTATATAGAAAACACATTTCATAAATGTCCCTTTTTGTGATTTTTACCTGAGGTATAGAGTGAAGACTGAGAATGCGAGAAATTGCAATAGAAATTTCTGAATTGATTTCTCCAACGACTGCTTTCACAGTAGGCATTATTTCGGAGCTGCATTTTGGAGGGTTGTAGAGTAAGTTCAATTCTGGAAATAGTTTTATTGTTGACTGAATGGCTTTGGAGACATCAGAGCACGAGTCATAGATTGCATAACCCAATTTAATCCCAGGCAAGAGAGTGGAATTATTAATCTCTTCAATAGAATACATCATAGCAAAGGCATTAACAACCATGTCTTTGTTTAAGCTGGAAAAGATATTTAGAAAGAAAAAAAAAGCACAAAAAAAAAAGCTTGAGTTACAGAGAATGTCCTTGAAGTGTATGGTGCGTATTCATCAGCTAACAGAATATATAACAACATATATGACAACTTTATATTGTCTGAATATACCCAACACTACATTCATAAATTAGGTAAATAATAACGTTTTACCTAATTACCTAGAAAGAAACTTAATAATGAGAGCACACAATAAAGCTTGTGATTGGTTAATGAAGAGACCTTTATTCCACCCATGTGCCCAGATTTCAATTTTAACCCAATTGCAAAATAAATAAATAAACGTTTTTTTTTAGCACTACAAACCATAAATTAACTTACTGGTAGGCTTAAATATAAATTAACAATAATGCATAATTACCACACTGAAGAGCACAGCAACGCACATTATCCCCACGGTTTAGTCATAGATCCTAATCAAAGATGCAACTGTTTAAAAACCAAACAGCAAGCAGAGGATTGGCTGAATAAACATTAATCTGCCCATTAATTAAAAGGATCCAAAGGAAAAAAATAGAAAAATATGTTTAAAGAAACAGTATACGAGAAATTTAAATATGATTGACATTAAGCGATAGAAAAATGGAAATAATATAACTGTCTTTCTTGATTTCATTCACTTAAATGTAATTATTAAAAAGTATTCACAAAAATGACCAAAAAATAAATACTGAAAAAACTATAACAGCAAATAAAATAAGAGAAAAAATAAAAAAAGGTCTAAAGAAAGCAAAACGGGGATTTCTTGGACATGAAGCACAGTTTCACACCACTACAGGCCACAGCAACTAAAAACAAGTAATGCTGATAACGCTCTGATACAATGCCACCTAATGCCACCTAACAAACATAAATCTCATAATGGAGCTAGAACACCAGCTCATTCAAAGTATGACCAGGCTAAAAGCTCTCAAAATGGTGTATATACATATTCTAACTCAGTTGTTTCTGACACGCTATCCTATGCCATGTTCAAATGGTTTTTACAAAATAACTGCATGAGATGGTTTTAAAGCTGCTGGGATGAATATGATAATTGAGCTCTAAAAAAAGAAAATGGTATTTAAAGCACTTAAATCAGATAAATCATAAAATATAAGGAAGCCAATGCAGCCTATAAAAATATGATTTGGTGGATTAAATTAGAAAATGAAAAAGTGATAGTAGTGGAAATGCACACATATAAATAAATTATGGCTCCAGGTTTCTCACTTAGTGTCTAAAGTACTATACACAACCATAACTATGGACCCATGAATATGTCTTCATTCCAAACCACAGAAAGAAACCCCCAGAGCAGAAATCAAACTTATAGATCACAAGATCGCACTAGCTGCAAGGCGTGTGGTGATGGAGAAATGGGGAAGCCCGGACATCCCTTCCAAAGAGACAATCAAGAGAAAAGTGGAAGATGCCATGAAAATGGACAAAGTCTCTGCTCTAATCCACGACACCAAAAATCACTTTAACAAAATCTGGGATCCTTGGATCTTTGTATTTCCACTATCCTCCTAAGGGGACTTGACCTCTGTGACTCATGGGGACACCCATTGCCCCTTCTATGGGGACAACAACGTCTCCCTACCAACAATTCTGATTGCACTCTTCTACTCTTCACGGACACTCCTTCTATTCTTACTTCCCAATCTTTCTCCTACGATCATACATCCTTGTTTTTTTTTAACTCTTTTTGTTTCTCCCAATATATTTTCTCTTCTCTCCCCTCTTCTCCCCCTCCCCCTCTTTAACCCCCTGGGAGACAAAAGCACAAGGTGTTTAATCATCAAGGCAATCCATGATATTAGCACATCAGCTGACCCTGGTTGCACGTTGTGACGAGACCAATCTCGCCACATTGCATTGGAGAAGCCTGGTTACTCGCCTGCTGCCTTTGGACTATGGCCCCCTGTTAAAAGACATCTTTTTTTACCTGCAGAAAAGTTTAATTTGTGCTTTTCTGCCTGGGGTTCGGTAGATTTGTTTGAATGTGTTATACCCCAGATAGGAATCCCATGGAGCCCATTTGTATGAAACTGACTGTAAAGACTTTGGCTCCATGGCGATTAAACTGTATTCGTGTGGTCTGAGCGCCATTCACTTAATAATGTGCGCTCAGACCTGAGCTATCTGGGGATATGTGAAATGTCTGTGTGTTATGTGTAAAATGTGACTTTATGTATTTTAAAGTGTTTTGTGTCTTTTTGCAACCATGTGCTTAATGGAGTCTTGTGTCTGTCCTGGGAGATAATTGAATTACTCTCCAGGATAGAAGACTCTGAAACTGGTTTGGGCCAGAAAGCCATGCTTCATTTAGTCACAAAGGACTTTCCCTTAACTTTTGAACCCCTGGTCTGATGCATGCCATTTATGAATATGTTGTTCCCCTGAATGGATTGATTGTCAATATGTAATTTTATGTGAATGTGATGTATGGTTTTGGAGTTATGAAAGTTGGGTAGAAAGTATGTTTTAACTGTTTGTATAATTGAGTTTCCTCTCAGGATAAGGGGAGGGAATATGTGGGATGTAACTGTGATATGATTGGTTGTTTTATCCCTCCCTGTGGGTGGTCCTGTATTTGAAACACTGTAATAAAACCAGGCTGGGTGTGCCAGCACCTCAGACCACTGCTTGACCCTCAACACAGAGCCTTGTCTCGTTCTTGGGGGGATTCACTGTATGCTGTTAGAGACTGATTGCCAGGAGTGTAAGTTGATTGTCTGCTTTTCCTGTTAGTCTGCTAGCAACTATTTGGGAGGTTCCAGTTCGGGAGTTGGAGTGCTATTTTGTATCCAGTTTGGGAGTTCTGCAGTAGCTGTGCCTGTATCTCTGGAAAGGGGGCCTAAACGGTTTTTACCCCTTGTGTGCAAAACGGTCCGTTACACACGTCAAAGAGTGTAATATTACAATTAACCAAACAATATAGCATTCTGCTGATCACTACGGAAATGTATGGCATATTGCATGCCCCGGGAGTTCATTACTGAGTCCCCTCTTTATTACTGAGTCACCTTACTGTACGTCTGCCCATATTATATAAAGTACCCACTAATTCCTCTATTTTCCTGTATGTTTCTTCCTGTTTTGTAACTTGTTTAATGGCCTGTGTCAACAAAGCAAAGGATGACTAAGCTAAATATATAACTATATACTTTAATACCTTCATGAAAATTCAAGATTTAATATATGCCTGTATGAAGATACAACACATGCTAACCCTTTTTTTTTATTCTGTACCCTATTGTACCTCTTATTTGAAATGTTTCCTATATGTGCAATGTTCAAATTACAAAATGTACAAAATAAAGAATTATTAACAGTAGGCCACCTGTAAAGGAACATTCCAAGCACTATAACCACTAGACTTCACTGAAAAGCCGAAAAAAGTAGGTAAGTATGGCTTTATTTTTTTCATATGTACCTGCTTCTAATTTCCTATGCTTTTCACAGCCACTCCAGGTGTGTCCTATCCCTAGGAATGCTGGAAAAGTTTATTGGGCTTGCCTGGCAGATTTACACATATGCAGTAAGAAAATCTCTAACTTGCAACATTGTGACACTGGGAAAAGGCAGGGAGTCTGATTGGTGTGATTAGAATTCTCTCTCATGCTGCTGTACGATGAGATAGGTGGGTAAAAGAAAATGGGAGAGGGGCTTAAAAACTTCCCTAGCTGAGAGATGCATGCAACAATTGGTTTACATATTTATGACTTAAGCTCTGAAGACAGTAAAAAAGTGTAATTCAGCAAGTCAGCTGTTCAGTGTTCTGACTTTACTTATGAGCCACCATCCTCATCCCTAACAGTGAATAGAGAGTGGTAGGTAGAGATTATTATATGATTGGTTAGGGACTTGATGACTCCTATCTACAGACTTTTTTAATTTAGAGGTGAAGGGTCATCTCATTAGCATGAGGGGACTAGGAACAGGCTGGATGTCCGATATCATTATTAATAGAGTTCGAGGGATTGGGCATTTTTTGCCTAGAATTTGAAGTATTAGAGAATTGGAACACTATTACCTTATGGTAAAGGTATAGGTAGAAGAATTCCCTGGACCCTGGTGTGGGCACTGTTACACTCCATCTTACCACATATGAGAGAGGAAGAGGTAAAGACCATACCTGGTATGTCTCCCAACAATCGTCTGCATGCAGGCATACATTTGGTATATATATTTTTGTGACATTCCCCTATCAGCATGACAGACCCTGAGGAGCCATGCAGGGCCTATGCAGGAACAGGGGCATGTGAGTTGTGAGGGGAGTGTATATAGAGGAATGTGGTAGAGTGGTTTAGGATGGGTGGATGGGTGGGCTGGTAAAAATAGGTTGCCATCTTACAATACAGCAGCCATCTTAATTATCAGTTGGGAACAGCTTCCCACCCGCCCTCCCTCCATTTATTTGTTACATGTTTGTCTGTCAGTGTGTTTGTTTGTCACAGCTTGTTTGCCCAGGGGGCATGTGTATGTCCAGTGGGTGTGGTGGGAGCCCAGCGGGCTTGGTGGGTGCCCAGCGGGCATTGTGAGAGCCCAGCGGGCATGTGGAAGCCCAGCGGGCTTGTGGACGCCCTGCGGGTGTGTGGCACTATATAGCCCTTGTCAACTGGGGGTTGGACCAGGGGTCCATGGAAAGTGAAGGGTAGGGCTGTCCCTCCCCTAACCTCAGGTTAAGTGATGGATAACGGACATGCCCATTGAGCCAACTAACAGGCTAGTGGTTAACATTATACAATGGTAGGCCCAAGAAAAGACCCTGTGCTGGTTGGAACAAGGGGGGAGGGGGCAGCTGCCCTTAAGTTATGGTTGGTTAGCAAGGTGGTACTCAGTGAAGTATCTATTTACTGAGTAATTATGTATATAGTGTTTTATGTTATAAAGTTGAAGTTTAAATATTTATATATTTATATTTTAATAAAGCTGTGGCCTATTTTAATCCAAAGCAAGTCTGGTGTGTTTTCATTGGAAGCAAAGGTTGGGGTTTAAAGGACCACTCTAGGCACCCAGACCACTTCAGCTTAATGAAGTGGTCTGGGTGCCAGGTCCAGACAGGGGTTAACCCATTTTTTCATAAACATAGCAGTTTCAGAGAAACTGCTATGTTTATGAATGGGTTAAGCCTTAGCATTATGAATGCTTTCCTATGTGACCGGCTGAATGCGCACGCAGCTCTTGCCGCGTGTGCGCATTCAGCCGACGGGGAGGAGAGAAGGAGGATCAGAGGAGGAGAGCTCCCCGTCCAGCGCTGGAAAAAGGTAAGTTTAACCCCTTTTCCCCTTTCCAGAGCCGGGCGGGAGGGGGTCCCTGAGGCTGGGGGCACCCTCAGGGCACTATAGTGCCAGGAAAACGAGTATGTTTTCCTGGCACTATAGTGGTCCTTTAACAAGGGTCAGGTTTATGCCAATACATAGTTACCCTCTATTTACGCACAAGACCCTGAGGAGCCAGACAGGGCTTAGGCAGGAACAGGGACATGTGAGTGTGAGGGGAGTGTATACAGAGGAATTGGTAAAGGGGTTTAAGGTGGGTGGAGTAGTTCCCATCCCCCCTCCCTTTATTTGTTTCATATTTGTTTGTCAGTGTGTATGTTTTTCACAGCTTGTTTGTCCAGGGGGCATGATGGGAGCCTAGCGGGCTTGGTGGTGCTTTTAAAAGCTGCGCTGAAAGGATTCATTATATTAGTTCTGCTTATTTAGTGGGACATTACTCCTAGTTAAACATGTATATTTGTTTAGTTCAGAATCAAATTTCTTCAGAATCTTTTTTAGAAGCTTCCAAATTCCAAAGTGGCAGAATCCGAAACAAACTGAAAACAAATTAATTTAGAATGAGTTGAAAGAATGTTTTATAGTCTATTTTTTCCATAAGAAAAGCAAATTAACTGTTAAGCAGTTGAAACAGCAAAATTAAGAAAAGGACTTTTGTTTTGTTTTTTCAATTTTTTAGCTGTTTTTAGTAGAAAGCTCCCTTATTTGGTATCCTTACATGGATTTGTCATAATTAATGATACCAAATTAGGGATGTATCTACTATGCAACTAGAAGAGCAATTTTTTTTTTTTTAAATGGCCCTTTCTATTTTTGCACTTTCAGCTGTTTAGTAGATGGCTCCTTAATTTGGTACCCTTATGTGGGATTGCCCTATTTAAGGACACCAAGTCAAGGAGCTGTTTTCTCTACAGAGAATTGCCATATTTAAGGATACCAAGTCAAGGAGCTGTTTTTTTTGCACTTTTAGCTGTTTAGTAGATAGCTACCTAATTTAGTACCCTTATGTGGAATTGCCTGTTTAAAGCTTTCCAAAGTAGGGTGCTGTTTTCTCTACCCAAAATCATCAATCATCACATAACCATTATGTTATACATGAGTAACACCAGCTACCATATGGGATCAAAGACAATAATAGCTGATCTAGAAAGATTAAAAAAATTTTTTTACTTAAAGGGACACTATAGTCACCCAGACCACTTCAGCTCAATTAAGTGGTCTGGGTGCCAGGCAGGGCCGGCCTTAGGGTTGTGCAAGCTGTGTGCGCCGCACAGGGTGCCGACACAGCTCACACATGGCCGAGTGACAAGAGAGCAAAAAACCCAAAAAAACGAGGTGGTGGAGGTGGGGCTTACTGGGAGGCAGGGGCTTATCGCGAGGTGGAGGCGGGGCTTATACCTACCCGAAGTCCCAGGTAACTGCTGCACAGGAAGAGGGAAGCAGGAAGGAATCCCTGCTTCCCCAACAACTAACTGCTTCCACTCTCCCTTCCAGCCATAATGGAAAGATGTAAGTCTGTGTGTGTGTGAGTGTGTGTGTCTGCCTACCTGTGTGTGCCTGTTTGTGTGACTGTCTGTCTTTGTGTCTGCCTGCATGTGTGTGTGTGTGACTGCCTGCCTGTGTGTGACTGTCTGTCTGTGTGTGTGTGTGTGTTTGTGACTGCCTGCCTGCGTGTGACTGCCTGCCTGCTTGTGTGTGACTGACTGCCTGTGTGTGTTACTGTCTGACTGCCTGCTTGTGTGTGACTGCTTGTGTGTGACTGTTTGCCTGTGTGTGTAACTGTCTGCCTGTGTGACTGTCTGCCTGTGTGACTGCCTGTGTGTGTGTGTGTGTGTGTGTGTGTGTGACTATCTGCCCGTGTGTGTGAGACTGTCTGTCTGTGTGACTGTTTGACTGCCTGCTTGTGTGTGACTGCCTGCCTGTGTGTGTGTCTGCCTGTCTGTGTGTGTGACTGTCTGTCTGACTGTCTGTGTGTGACTGTTTGCCTGTGTGTGTGTGTGTGTGTGTGTGACTGTCTGCCTATGTGTGTGACTGCCTCCCTGTGTGTGTGTGTGACTGTCTGCCTTTGTGTGTGTGTGTGTGTGTGTGTGTGTGACTGTCTGCATGACTGCCTGTGTGGCTGTCTGTCTGTGTGACTGACTGCCTGCCTGTGTGTGTGTAACTGTCTGTCTGCCTGTGTTTGACGGTTTGCTTGTGTGTGTGTGTGACTGTCTGTGTGTGACTGTCTGCCTGTGTGTGACTCCAATTGTGTGTGTCGCTGTAGCTGTGCCATTGTGTGTGCCTGTATGTGTGCCTATCAGCGTGAGTGTCTGCATGCCTGTAACCGAGTGTGTATGATTGTCATACACACTCGGTAAGGAGTATGTGTGACTGTCTGCCTGTAACTGTGTGTGTGATTGTGTGCCTGTAACTGTGTGTGACTGTCTGCCTTTAACTGTGTGTTTGGCACTGTGACTGTCTGCCTGTAACTGAGCATGTGTGACTGTCTGTCTATAACTGAGCGTGTCTGACTGTCTGCTTGTAACTGTTTGTTTGACTGTCTGCCTTGGCCTGTGTGTGTGACTGTATATATAAGGCAACTTGTTGGGGGAAGGGGGGCGCTGTGAAGACTTTTTGCACAGGGCGCCTAATGGCCTAAGGCTGGCCCTGGTGCCAGGTCCCTCAGGTTTTAACCCTGCAGATGCAAACATAGCAGTTTCAGAGAAACTGCAATGTTTACATTGCAGGGTTAAGCCAGCCTCTAGTGGCTGTCTTCCGGACAGCCACTAGAGGCGCATCTGCGACGCTGGAGGCATATTATGCCTTCATCACGCAGAGTGTCCATAGGAAAGCATTGAAAAATGCTTTCCTATTGGCAGCTTGAATGCACGCGTGGCACTTGCCGCGCATGCGCATTTGGATCCGCTAATGTCAGCAGAGGGAACTGACGTCGGTGGGGAAGGAGAGGTCACCAGCGCTGAGGGAGCCTGGCGCTGGAATAAGGTAAGCGTCACAGGAGGGGGACCCTGAGGGTGGGGGCACCCTCAGGGCACTATAGTGTCAGGAAAACCACTTTGTTTTCCTGACACTATAGTAATCCTTTAACTACAGTATAGTCATTTTTGCTACTATATTGGCTATAACGTGAATTTTGCAGTTCAATCTCTAGTTCATATCTCTGTTTAGTGAATGCATAGGTAGATGTCAGATTGTATTTTTACGAAGTCTATGTTTTCAGCACTTTGTTTACTATATTTATTTTTTCAGTTAATTTTATAGTTTAATGCTATAATTTAATAATAATTGGTACTTACAAATTAATAAAACAAATATCACAGAAAGCATAGCTATGCGTTTACAATAATTAACAGTTAGTATTAATTTACTTACATAACTGTTTTTTTTTTATATATATACATATATATATATATATTCATTATTACTTGTATCACTACAACTATGAAATTGAAAAATACAGTTTTAAAGGATGTAAAAGTACTTACCCAGTACAAATATAATCATCAGAATTAGTGTGGTGTAAGATATTAGGATAATTTAATATAGTTAATTATTAAATTACTACATAATAATTTTAAAAAATTTCGTTATATATATTCATTATTACTTGTATCAATGCAACTATAAAATGGAGCAATATGGTTATAAAAGATGTAAAAGTACTTACCCAGTACAAATATAATCATCAGCATTAGTGCGGTTTAATAAATTGGAAACCTCATTGTGAATTGGAAAGATGCCTCCTATCATGATATCTCCATCCATATAAGCTACAGCATCTTCTTCAATGCCATAGGACTGAATGCATCTCAAGTTAATATATGCACAAAGAGCATAAAATAAGACATTGTGAAGCATGTCTATTTTAGATATGCAAGGCAAAGCCTTTTATGTGCACTACTATGAAGAAAGACCTCTTAGATATAGTGAAGTAATCTAATTAATATCAAAACAATGAACTGTATTATAGAGTAGTGTGTATAATTATCATTATGCATACTTCCTGTAGAACAAGATCTATGTTTTTTTGACATATTTACATATTTCTTTGAATGTCAGGTTAAAACATGAAGATATTCTCTGATCAGTATGTTTAAAAGAGAATAATAAATGCTGCTTATTACTTTATTGTATAGAATATCACAGTCATTTCTATTTTTTTTTTTTTAGAATTAATTTTATTAGGAAGAATATGTTGAGATTTTTCTTTTTTCGGATGTCTGGCCACCTGCAAATTCCATATCTTAACGGTATGTTTCAAGCACTAACCGTGCAACAGAGCATTTTACATTTTTGCTTAATATTAAATACATGATTGTAAAAAAAATAATTAGTTGCCAAGAATTTTCTTTGTTTTCTCTTTTTTCTCTTATACGTGTTATGTTCCACAGTTTGCATTGAGATTGCTACTCTTATTTTTTATGTTGAATTCCTAGTCTTAATTAAATTAAAACTTTAAAGGTTTTTAAAAAGGTGGTCAAGCACATATTTCTGCAAGCATTATCCCATAGGTAATAGGGAGGAGTTGGGCAACTACAGGCCAGCAAGCCTTACTTCAGTAGTGGGGAAAATAATGGAAATCATGTTCAAGGATAGAGAGAATACAAAGACAGCGAGAGTAAATCTTTAATGGTTGTAGGGTAATTAGGACATAACCCAAGACAGGAATAATAAGGAAGATTAGAGCGGACTTTACAAAGAACAAGGCCAGTACTAATCTTATCACCCTGATGGAAGCTACTAATCCAATACTAGACTTAGTGCCTTAAAGTATAAAAACAAAAAACTGTGGATTTTATTAGATCCATAACTGGATAAATAAGAGACACAAAGACAAAATTAACAGTATAAACATAAAGTGCAAAAAAATGGTTAAAATAGGACCAGCTATTGGAGCCTTGTTTTAGTATCCAAAATGAATCCTCGCTTAGGATGTAGACAAATATTGGTTCACCAAATACAATGCTGCAAATAGTTGCGATGCAGGGGTCTCAAAATAGGTCTACAGTTTGGAATGATAGGATACTATCAAAGGGTAAAGTATAAAGAGAATGAATATATATTATGACAAGTGGTCAGCAGGTAAATTTCAAATAAGATTATGCATGTATATCTCTGGATTAATAGTACGGCTAAATTAGGATGGTCGGTACAGTCTCTTATAGTGAGGTATAGGGGGTATATGGGGAAATCCAAAGCAGCAAAACCCATATTGATAATACCGATCGGGAAGCTAACGATGGAGAGATAAAGAAGGAAAAAAAAAAAGAATATATCCCAGTTAGTCAAAGCACAATTAGGTAGTATGATATAATTATTTGCAGAACCTCAGACCTTTTGTCTGTTTAGAGTGTTCTAAGAAGTATATCCTGCTATAATAAATATAGCTAGTAGTTTGACAAGAGCAATGGTAAACAGATGAGAGTACGATTTAGTTCAACTGATGCATTGATACTGCAAAAAAGTTTGCTAGACTGGCTAGAAATACAGAAATGATTAGGCAATCATCAAGGGGCAGAACCACTAGGGGTCTGTTAATTCTGTGGAGAGATGAAATTACCATACAGCCTGATAGTCTGTTATTTGCTGCTAGTAGCCATTGCTGGTCTAGTGGAGACTATTACAAAGGGTTAACTACCTAATATTTGCTTCAAGTCAGCCTCTGATTTGGGTATACATATGATAGCTAACTCTTGATCAGCTGCCTCAAGGCAGCCCCTGGTCTGGCTACAACAAAAACAGCTACCCAGTAGTAAAGATACTCCCACGGTCCTACGAAATTAAGTCAAAGCTAAGGAGGCATCCAGTAGTGGTCCTAGACTAAGAACAGAAACCCACAAGTGTGGAGTCTAGCCCAACGCGCGTTTCGGCACTGACATGTGCCTTTTTCAAGAGTTGGATTAACACTGATCGTGCTGCCTTGTGTAGCCGCCAAGGCACGCCCCTTTCCGTGATATCAACGACATCCGCAAATAGCAACCACAGGGGGTGGGCAGCTTTCTATGAGTGGCGTGTATGTACTAGAGCACAAAGAGGATGCTTAGATATTAACTCCTCCAGTGCCAGGAAATCAATTAAATTGCAATCCTCTCATAAATTAAAGGGATAGTAGATTGAGTTTAAAAGCTTGATTTAAGCAGCAACAAATTTGATCTTTTTAGTTGGCAGGACAATAAGTATATGTTAATTAGGATATTAAAGGGTCTATGTTTGCTGAATAGTCTTTTTTTTTTCTTTTCTTTTTTTTAAACATCAGAGCTAGGTATGAATATCACCATTCAATATTAGATTTTACTTTCATAACATGTTCATCATTTGTTAATATCCATCTTTTAATCTACTCTACCTTTACTTCACTTAATTATTTCAGTGTTCTATTTCTACCTCAAACAAAAAATTATCACTCACTCAATCATAGACACCAGACACAAAAAAATAAAATAAAAAAAGAACAATTTTTGATCCCTAACTACTTTTTTATTGCTTGATTTATTACCTATGTCTTGCTCTATACAGTGATGAATAAGAGCTACCATTACTCTTTTTCTTTTTGTCAATTTCATTTTCTCTGCCTTCTTCCTTTCTTTTTTCTCTATCCCTTTATCCCCCTTTATCTTTCCTTTCTTATTTTTCCTCTTGCTCTTCATTACCCTCTTTAGTGTGTTGATACTTATTTAGCCAAGGACTCCATAGGGTGTTATATTTATCTAATGTTTGATAATTCAGATAAAATCCTCTTTCCAAATCTCCTTGAGACTTTACCTGATTTCTAACCATATTCCAGCACATTTTGTCTTTTGATTTCCAATTTCGCGCTATAGAAATTTTCATAGCTGAAAAGATTTGTATAATCATATAACTATCCTTAAATTCAAATTCTTCCAAATCCATATGTAGCAATGCCCTCTTTGCAGTTGGAGCTATCTTTATTTTCAATATCTCAGAAATAACAACAAAAATAGTTTTCCAGACTTCAGTTGTCTGACTACAATTCCACCATATATGCAAATAGCTACCATTTTGATCTCCACATCTCCAGCATAATATATTCTCTGTGCTCTTAAATTTTGCTACTATGGTAGGTACTAAATACCATCTATAATTCAGTTTTAAATGTGTTTCTTGTAATGTTAAACAATGTGTGACTTTCCTAATAGACATAAGACTGTTTACCCATTCTTTACTATCGAAGGTTGCTTGCAGTTCACTTTGCCATGCTAATAATACTCTTGATATTGCCCCTTGTTCTAGGGCAGTGATGGCGAACCTATGGCACGTGTGCTACAGGTGGCACGCCGGGCCCTCTCTGTGGGCATGCAGCAATAGCTCGCCATCAATGCAGAATAAGCACCTGCCTGTCGAAACGGCAGGCGCCTACTCTGCTTTCTTGTCCGGAAGCAGGGGGGAGGGATCGAGGAAGCAGCTCTCCTGTCCTCCCGCGAGCTGTGTGGAGTGTTGCCTCGCGTTACCATGGCAACTCTCCACACAGCATCATGCAGGAGGACAGGAGAGCTGCAGGACCTGTCCTCCTGTCCTGCATACTTACCACCACCGGACCACCAGGGATGGCTGTGTCCCCCCCCTCCCCTTCACCAAAGGTAAGAAGAAGGGAGGGGGGATACTGACTTAATATTGCTTTAAAAAAATAATAAAAAAATGTTTTAATGTATCTTCAACCCCCACCCCCCACACAGCACCCCGACCCCCCCACACACAGCACCCAGACCCACAGCACCCCTTCCCCCCACACACATCACCCCAACCCTAACCCCCACACACAGCACCCCTAACCCCCAGCCCCCACACAGCACCCCTACCCCCACACACACAGCACCCCTACCCCCCACACACAGCACCCTTCCCCCACACAGCACCCCTACCCCACACATGCTTCAAAAATGTTTTAATGTATCTTCAACCCCAAGAACACCACCCTAGCCCTCCACAGCACCCGACCGCCCACACATACAGCACCCCACCCACACACCTTTAATCCCCACACACACACAGCACCCCTATCCCCACACACACAGCACCCTATCCCCACCCCACACACACAGCACCCCAATCCCCACACACACACAGCACCCCTATCCCCCCCACACACACAGCACCCCTACCCCCCCACACACACACAGCACCCCTCACACACAGCACTCCACACCCTGACACATACACTGCACCTCTCAATGCAGTATATGTGTGTGTGTATTCAGCAGTCTTTATGTATTCAGCAGTGTGTGTGTATTCAGCAGACTGTGTGTGTATTCAGCAGACTGTGTACTCAGTGGACTGTGTGTGTGTGTATTCAGCGGACTGTGTGTGTATTCAGCGGACTGTGTGTATGTTTGTGTGTGTATATATTTAGCAGTCTGTCTGTGTGTCAGTCGGTGTATGTATTGCATTTGTTGGAGATACTAATAAATATGAACTTAATTTTATCTATTTATATAGTTTTTACCGCTATATTTTGAATATTATTTTCTAGATTTACAAGATAGGTATTTTTAATAACTTTATCTTTTATTAGAAGTTTTTTCTTAAACCTCATGCACCCGTTAATAATATTATTAAGAATACTTGAAGTATTGTATCTAGATATATTTTTTATCTCATTATGATGAGCCCATAGAATAATTTCTAAATTCTTGATTTTTAGTAATTCAGATAATATCAAATACCAATCTTCTTGTTTACAATTATCAATTTGAAATTTATGAGCTTGAGTAACCATCACTACATTAGCATAGTTTTCCATTTTAGGT